TTTTTTTTTAGTTACTGATATATCATGTCAGCCATGGCTACAAAATAACAGTCTGAACTATACAGAGTAAGAGCACATAAATACTAGTGAATCTCTCTTTATAAAAAATAAAATAAAATAAAATAAAAAAAAAAAAAAAAAAAAGAAGCTAGCATCGTTCGTGGCTGAGACAGTTGAGGAACATAATTCAGTGGTACTGTGAGATTTCCTTACAGCACAGAAAGTATTTTTAACAGTCATGAATTACAGTACTACTTAATACCCTATGAAGACGCTTTAAAAACAACCTTGTACTTTAAGTCCTTTTTTTTCCCCAAACATTCTGTCCAAAGGATTAATGTTCTATTTGAATCAAGTGCCATCCAAATGTTCAAGTCAAAAATATTTATACATTTATACTCAGTTGTTTTTTTTTTATTATTTATTAATTATTTTATTTACTTTTCTTTTCTTTATTCTTGTCTGCTAAAAATAGTATTGCAAGTTTTGGCTTTTTTCTTTATTTTATTATAACCTTGACATAAAAATCACGATTTTTTTTTTCTTTTTTTGTAAATTTTTTTGTGTGTGTGCAAAACGCTTTTAAACAGTGGAAGAAACTGGAGGAGGAGTGGAGGGGTTTCCAATGTGAGCGTGTCCCACTCGCTCCCAGCAGGGTTTGGAGAGCAGGAACACTTGGAACAGCAGTTGAATCCCGGGATGGCTGCGGGGACACCTGGGGACACTCCGGGCTCATCCCCGGCTCCTTCTCCATCCGCAGAGAGCGATTCCAGAAACGCGAGGGCTCAGAGCAGGGCCCCGGGACAGCCCCGGGACAGACCTGGGACAGACCTGGGACAGCACCAGGACAGCCCTGGGACAGACCTGGGACAGCACTGGGGACAGCCCTGGGACAGCACTGGGACAGTCCTAAAATAAAAATGGGACAGACCTGGGACAGCACTGGTGACAGTCCAGGGACAGTCCTGGGGACAGCACTGGGGACAGCACTGGGACAGCGCTGGGGACAGCACTGGGACAGAACTGGGACAGCACCAGGACAGCACTGGGGACAGCACTGGGACAGCACTGGGGACAGCCCTGGCACAGCACTGGTGACAGTCCCGGGACAGTCCTGGGGACAGCACTGGGGACAGCACTGGGACAGAACTGGGACAGACCTGGGACAGCACTGGTGACAGTCCAGGGACAGTCCTGGGGACAGCACTGGTGACAGTCCTGGGACAGTTCTGGGACAGTCCTGGGACAGCTCTGGGACAGCCTTGGGGACAACCCTGGGACAGCCTTGGGGACAACCCTGGGACAGCACTGGGGACAGCTCAGAGCAGAGCCCTGGGGGACAGCCTTGGGGACAGCCCTGGGGACAGCTTTGAGGGACAGTCGAGGGGACAGCCCCAGGACAGCTTTGGGGACAGCCCTGGGACAGCCCTGGGGACAGTCAAGGGGACAGCCCTGGGACAGACCTGGGACAGCTTTGGGGACAGGCCCAGGACAGCCCTGGGACAGACCTGGGACAGCTTTGGGGACAGGCCCGGGACAGCCCTGGGGACACCCAGCCCCTCGGGCAGTCCCAGCCCGGGGCTCGCAGCCGTTCCCATCCCCGGAGCATCCCCCGGGAATCCCCGGCCCCAGGATCCCCGGGGAGCCGCTCCAGCTCCCGCCCTCACCGCCGGGAAAGGTCGGGAATGTCACCGTGTCACCGGCCCCTGCGACACCGGGGGTGGCAGAGGGTCATGCAGCCCCTCGGCCGGGCGAAGCGGTGTTTAATTAGCGCTAACTAATTAATTAGGAGGAGAGGAGCTGGTCCTACGCTACGGCAGCTGCGGGGAACTCGGGTGCTTTTACACTCTGCGCTCGTTAAAGGTGCTTGGTATAACTTTAGATATAGAATATACAGGTAATATTGCTAATAGTCAAGCATAAGAATAAAGGTGCAGACATACCATAAATACTGATGCTCTGATTTTACACTGTCAGACCTAGATGAATGCAGTTTCCTATTCACATTATAAAGCAGCCCCCAAAATTCTAGAATTTAAAATAGTGTCGTAAACAAAGAGGAGGAAGGAGTAGGTTATGATCTGATCTTCTTAATCTGTTTTCCTTGGAAAAAAAATGATCAAAAAATTCTAAGGCACTCAGGAAAGCCGCATACAATCGATGGACTGCTCTGTTCTCACCTTACATTCAGTTTTAAGGGGTTATTTTTTTTTTTTTTTGCTTTTTTTTGTTGGTTTTTTTTTTTTCTCGGAAGAATACAATCATTACCATATAACATTTTCAAACATATCATTAATCCTCCACACACAGGAAACATTAGTGCAAAATGCTTGCCCTCATCTACCAGATAAGGAAAAACCCAACGCCCTTCACATTTTAGAAGTTTGCCTTCCTAATAATAATAATAATAATAATAATTAATAAAACAAACCCAAATCAGGAAAAAAAAAAAAAAAAGGAAATGAAAGGAAAAAAAAAAAAAAGAAAGAAAAAAACCCCAAAATATACAGGAAGTTGTGCTAGGTATAAAAATATATATTTTCACTGTGCAACTTGACTCTCTGCAGACTCTCTGTCCTAAGCCATTCAAGTACTTTGCTGCTGCCCCCCCGGTGGCCCCCCCGGCTGTCTGGGAACAGGTTTGGTCCAGAATTAATCCCTCCAGCCAAGTGCAGCCCCTGGCCAGGGGGCTCAGCCTGCTCCCCACCCCCAGCAAGTGCCAAAAAAGAGGAGGAGGAGGAGGAGGAATCCTCTGCAATATCTCTTCTCTCTATATTTATATTTATATATATGCACACAGACACACACACAAGGGACGACTTTTGATCTCCGGCACCCGGAGCCGCTCCCAGCTTGCCTCAAACTTTTTGGCAAACCCAAAGATTTGGGGATCGGGAGGGTCCTCAGCCAAACCTGAGCCCCACCAAGCTGGCTGAGCTGCCCTCCAGCAGCTGTCCCCAGGGCCAAGGAATTGCTCCGTGTCCCCAGGGATGGGGACAAAGCCCCCCGAGCTCAGCCCGTGGTCCCCGGGGTTGTTTAGTGACGTGGGTAAAGTGCAAATAGAGCCGTGCCCATTCCCACTTCTCCGAAGCATCCCACACCTCTGCACCTGCACCAGCCCCCAAAATCTGCTCTGGGGCGTCACAGTCCCCCCCAAAAAAGCTGTGCCAAAACCCAGCGTGGGGCAGGACCCCCCCGTCAGTGATTTGTTGTGTCAGGAGCAGTGGCACAGGCTGGGCAGCCTCGTTATTCACGATGCAAAAAAACTGCTTCAAGTATCAAAGAAAACAAAACAAATGGCCAAAAGTTGGGTTATCCTCTCCCCACTCCCCCTTTCCCAATGGAAATACAAAGAAGGAAGAAAACCCTGAGCAAAGCGCTGTCTGGATTAGGGAATCAAAGCAGGAAAGAAAAGAGGAGCACAGCCACAGCAGCCAAAAAGTGACTTTGTGCACCTTGTTCCTAGTCCCAAACGTGTTAGAGAACAAGCTGCAAGTGTCATTAAAGCAGGTCGTTAAGTCACAGTAAAAATAACCATCATTAAAAAAGGAAAGGAAAAAAAGGAAGAAGCCAAACTTGGCTTTCATGTCCCTGTCCCCATCCCCTGGGGACCCCCAGCCTGGCCCCAGCCCTCGGGGGAAGCCGCAGTGTCCCCTTGGAGCTGGCTCCCAGGGACAGACTTTGGGGTTTGGAAAGGTGAGGGACAGAGCAGGTACCTGCTGCCCATCAGGCTCCAGGGACACCCACAACTGCCATCCCGAGGCCAGCAAAGCCACCACAGCCTGGGGACATCAGCCTGCAACAACAAAAATAAAGACAAATAACTCCACATTGGGTTTTCCCCAGAAGGGGCAGCGGGAGGGTGAGCAGGAGGCAAAGCGCTTCCTCCTCCCCAAAACCACTTCACAGAAGGGCTCAAAGCTCATTTTTTTTCTTTTAATCTCTGCATCCAATACACCCCAAATTATTAAAAAGTGAGAGCCTGGTTGGCCTGGGGAGGAGGGAGGGGCAGAGGGTGAGCTCTGCACGCACTGAGCTCTGCCTCCGGTGTGGATGCTGCCAGGAGCCAACACCAAGAGCCCCTTGGAGCAAGAACAACGCGCTCTCCATGCTCAGATTCCTCCCTAAATCCCTTCACAGGCTGAGGGGGGGCTCCTCCCCTCCCAGTGGGTGCCCCAGGAGCTGCACGCCCCGGGGTGCAGAGGGGTGACAGAGCCCGGCCCCCCAGGAGCGGGGATGCAAACACGGAGAAGCAAAGGAAAAGGAATGGCTGGGAGGAAGGAAGGGAGGGAGGGAGAGAGAAACCAAACCCAAACCCAAACCCAGCCATATTGGGCAAAAACCAAACCACAACCACAACGGCAGCCAGGCTCTCCACCTGCATCCCACGCAGTCCTCCCGACACACGTGCCAGCCCGAATTCCCGCAGAACCATCCCTGCAGGAACCTCCCCGGGACAACAGCACCCACGGCCAGGGCTCCCCCCCTGCCTCCAGGGGGGTCTGGCCACGATCACTGCCACGATTTCCCCCAGCCCATCCCACTTGGCTCGAGCCCTTCCCGAGACAAACGCGGCCAGTCACAGCACCTGCACCCGAACACACCTCGCTTTCCTGTTCAGTGACAAAACTCTCCTTAGAGGACAAGGTTAACGATGGCTTTACTTCTGAGCTGAGTGATGGATGGGGTGATGACGGGGTGGTGGTGGGTGGGGGGGTGGCTAGCTTTTCTCCTCCCCTTCTTAAAACAAACAAAAAACCAAAAAACTGAAAAAAACACCAAAAAAAAAAAAAAAAAAGGAAAGGAAAGGAAAAAAAAAAAAAAAGAAAAAGCTACAATCTTATAGACTAACCTCAGGAATATCAAAAAAGGAGCCCAATATTTTTTTAAGTAGGTCGCCACAGACCTAGTCGTTTACAGTATAACGAATGCGATTATTTCCTTCATAAATTTTAAATACAAGCAGAATAAAAATCACATTTTTTTCAGGCAACAGTAGCAGTTCAGTAGGTAAGTGGCTTGATCACATTTTTCGTTTTGTATTAGTAACGCATGCAAGCAGCTTTAGTATTACAGATCCCTTATAGGTCATGAAATGTTTGCTCTCTTTATAAAGTCCCTCCATAAGTACCATCCTGTCTCCTCACGGGGGTCTCGGGCCGGCTGGAGGAGCCCGAGCCTTGCTCGAAGGGCTGCGGAGTGCTTTGGGTTTCCGACGCCACGGCGTCCGCGGCAGCCGCCTCCTGGATGACGGAGCCGGCGCCCTCGGCGTCCTCGCCCTGCTCGAAGGACTGGCTGGAGGCGTTGCTGAGCTCCACGTTCACCGTGTTAGTTCTCAAGGCTACTATAGTCCCCGCCTCGCTCCTCCTCTCTGCATAGATGCGCTGCTCGAAGGCCTGAGCGGCGTTGGGCTGGAAGTCGGGCTCCAGGGGGACAGTGTTTGTGGAGGAGCCCATGACGCTGCGGTACATCTCCATGCCCTCGGGCAGCATGGATTTGATCTTGGGCAGCCAGCGCTTGCGGACGCGCCGCGCGTTGGTGCACATGTCGGCCGCGATCACGTTCATCTCGCTCTCCTTAAAGCTCGGGGCAAAATTCTGACAGTACACTGCAAAGACAGGGAGACACAGAGCTCAGCCTTCCCCGGGGGAGAGGCACAAAGGTGAGCCTGGACTCTCAGGTGGGAGCGGAGCTTCAGCCACAGAGCTCCTCAGCTGGAGACAACAGGAAGGGGTAAGAGCAGAAGGTGTGAAAACCCCGTGGGGCAGAGGGAGGGGGATGCAACAGAGCCCCTCACTCCATGGGGACCCCCACAACCACGGCCATGGCATGTGGGGATGGCCAAAGCAGAGGTGGACACAGAGAAGATCCCACAAACTCCCCAGCAGCAGCTCCATGAGTGGCTCCTAAACCGGCAGCGCTGCAGGAAATGTCAGAGCTGAGGGGCTGCCCAAGGGATTGTCCTCTGCCTGTCCCTCTCCTCACGCCACCCCTGCGTGGCCCAGCAGCCTGGCTGCTCCAGCATCCCTCTGCTGGCACATTCCCTGGGAGGCAGCAGCAGTGGGAGCTGCAGGAGCCCTGCAATCCCTCGTGCCCTGCTCCTGTGCGGGAGCCAAGCGCCTGATGTTACAGAGCAGCATCCAAGGAACTGCCATGGTGAGTAACTGTCAGCTAAAGCTCATGCACAGGGACAAATCCAGGCAGCAGGAACCCATCCCATACCCTGGCACACAGCAGCAATGCCCTTCCAGCCCACCTCAGGAAGGACCATGGCTGGAAAGTCCAGAGTTGGGACTCTCCAGGATAAAACTGCTAACAGGGAGCTGGCTCCACCATGTTCAACCACACTGCTGAACATCTGCCCTCTTATCCCCCTTCCCCAGATGCCACAGATCTCCCAGGGCAGCTGGAAGGCCCTGGATTTTACAATTAGGGAGGGGAAAGATTTCTCTTCCAAATCTTGAAAACGAAATGAAAAAAACTGCTTAAGAGTTTTGTTCTTCAGCACAGGAATATTTACACGTAGATTTACTCCCCAGAATTCAGACAGGGTGAGAGAACACAGTGATTTCCACTGCACATGAAGCCCATGGCAAGTAGATTTTTCTGCACCCCTCAAGGTTTCCTCCAGCCTTCAGCTCCTCCTCCTCCAGCACCTCCTGTCCCAAAACACTCCAGGTATCCCCAGGTGACTGAGGGGGAAGTGGCAGATGGAGAGCACATCCCACCCACAGCTTCTCTGGGCAACCAAAAAACGATGCAAACTAAAAAATAAATTGATTTTCCTACAACCTAATTCCACCATTACCACACAACAGAGTGCCCTCCCCTGCCCAGGGCTGGGCCATGCTGTTCCACCCCAGCAGCAGAACACCCCTCTCCTTACATTTGACTGCATTAAGGACCCTGCTGTCCAAGGGCTTCCTGCTGGGATCGCTGGTGGAGGACCTGATTCCAGTTCCACAGCTGTTGGCAAGAGTGTTCCTGTGGGGAGGCAAAGGGAGAGCCTGGGAGAGGGGACCAGGGGACAGCCACTCCCTGCCCTCCTCCCTTCACGTCCTGCTGGATGCATTACCAGGATTTTAAAGTGAGGAATGCTGGGAGAGGGGACCAGGGGACAGCCACTCCCTGCCCTCCTCCCTTCAGGTCCTGCTGGATGCATCACCAGGATTTTAAGGTGAGGAACAGGAAATGTGCATGGAAATGGAATAAAGTTCTCAAGCATCGTTAAGGAAATGCACAGAGCTGAGTGCAGAGGATGAAGCACACAGGGTTAAAGCCCTGGAAGGTGAAGGGAACAGGGAAGGAATCCCTTGGGAGAGCAGGAGGAGCAGTGGGACGGGACCTACCGGTCGAAGAAGGTGGCCAGGAGACGTCTGAGCAGGACCTTGTGTTTGACACCAGCACATAAATGGCAATTCATCAGCTGCCCCCGGGTGATGTAAACACCTGAGCCTGCAAGGGTGGAGAGGGACAATCCAAAATGAGCCCTGACACAGCCACAGAGCCACCCCTGAGCCACCCTCAGCTCCTCCTCGCTGGTGGGAACCTCTTCTTCACCTGCTGCAACAAGGACAGAGGGATTTCTGCAAAATCCTGACAAATCCTTGAAGCCTTGGCAAGTCCCAGGCAATAACAGCTCCTAATTTTATCTGTACAGACAGGAAGTCTATGGGAATCAAATGAAAGGATTCTTATTTTCTCACCAATGCACACTGTGCAAGGCTTACACTGTGATTTGATATGTACAGATCAGATTATTTATTCTTTCTGAAGCAAGAAAACCCCAACACATTTGGCCTTTTTGTTTTGGGTTTTTTTTTCTTCCAGTGAAGAACTGTAGAACACAGAGCTGGAAATGAAAGAAAAAACCCATCTAGCACAGAAAGAGGTACTTGGTTACAGATCTAACTGCTTCCAAAACCCCAGCCCATCACCTCTTGATACCTCTGGTGAGCAGGGAATTTTCCTTCTAATGCACAGGAACTGCTGCCTTTGAACCTGCTGCCTTTAAGGATGTTTTCTGGAAGAAAAAGGAACCCTGTGCAAAGCAGCTGGACACGTCCAGAGGTCTGGCAGTACTTTACAGCAGGTTTTATATCAAACCTTTTTACTCTGCTCACAGACCAACCTGCTCCTGCCTCAGCATTGCTTCCAGGGAGAGGTTATCCCATTTTTCAAGCATTCTCTTACATGAGAGGGTTTTGGTATTTGCTTTTAATTAAGATTCAATAATGGGTCATAGCTGGATCCAGAACACACTCTGTTCTCAAAATATAAAAACATCTGCTGAAGAAGTGGTATCTCCTGGATTTCCAGGGAAGATGATTGTCCCTGAGCTTCTGGATGGAGCTGGAGCTCAGGCAGGCCCTGTGCAGGACCCTCTGCACCTCCCCTGGCACCCCAGGACCTTCATCCTGCCCCAGAATCCAGCATCCCTCTGGATGCCATGCCACGTCTCACCAGGAATTCTACTTGTGTTCTCTTCCATCTAATGAGTTTCTTTGGTTTTTGGGTTTTTTTTTTTGAGTAACAGCCTCAGTCCCTCCCTCAGATGTGCCGTGGTGGCTGCAAGCCTCGTTAAAGACCCTTTTTCAGAGAGGGCTGCTTAAGTTTGCTGAATCAATTGTGGCATGAAAAACCAGAAAAAAAAGGAAAACATTCCCACTTGGAGAGCTGAGGAAAACTTTCACAGCAGGATCAAGCCACCCCTCCAGGTCTGAGACAGGAATTAGGGGAGTTTATTTTGTATTTTAAGAGATAAGGCATCAGAGCAAACACCAGCCACCACTGAGGGGAACTTCACTTTAATAAATGAGAAATAACCAGGCAGCCACTATCAGTTAGTGATATTAATCTACTTTTTTTCCAGATTGAAAAATGTAAATCAAGCAGAGTTGCCTCAAACCAATTTGCAGCTCTCACTGTGAAAATAACCTGCACCACTTGATGGTTTTAAGAAGTCTCACATTAAATGGAAATGGGTACAAAATGAATATTCCAGATCCAAAATAAAATCTTGTGGTTGTACGCTGTGCTTTGCCTTCCATCAAAGTCCCGTCCTCCATCAGCTGCAAACCTTTGTGGGCATCCCCTGAAATCCTGACTCCTTCTCCAGAATGAAAATGAAATCGTGCTACTCACCAAGAGAGAAATGACTGCAAGGGAAGAACTGATTTGGATGGACTGTGCTGCCACATGTCCTTTTTGGACCAATTAAAATTAAAGGGATTAATTAAACCTCCCCACCTGGGGGCACGTCTGGGATGTCCTGCCCAGCCATCCCCACACAGCCACATCCAAGGGAAAAACCCACAGCCAGGCCACTGCAAAGTAAAGCTGGGAGGAACTTCTTAAAGCAGAATATGATTATTCCCACTGGAATCTGACCTGGTCACTCCAGTTAAACACTTTCTGTGCAGTGCTGGGTGTGCCTGGGCACAGCCACCTGATTTCACTCCTTCAGCTCTAAACAGAACCATCTTCCACCTCACACTGGCCAGAAATCTTTTCTAGAGAAGGAGTAAATTCTCCCAGTATTGTAAACTCCCCCCAAAATGAAAGCAAAGACAGAAGAAAGGACCAAACCCAATTCCTTCTTCTCCTCCTGCTGCAGCATTTGACCACTTAGTAAATTTATATAGAAACTTTTACAGGTTTTTCAAAGCTTGTTCACTGACACAAATTTTATCTCCCTTGCTTTGTCAGTCTTATACTGTTTTAATTTTTGAGGGGGGTTGGTTGAGTTTTTAGATCTGTGATTCTAAATGAAAACACACTCACTGCAGCCACACCGAGCAGGAAGAACACAAGCTGCAGAATTCAATTAAAATGCTAAATTAATTCAATTGAATAAATCCTGTTAATGACACATTTTTCTGTCAGCAAATTAAAGGAAACTCCGAACTTTTCAAAAGACGATTGGTGACGAATAATCCAGAAAGACACAGCAAGGGCACACGAGATGCACGACTGCAGCAAGATGGAGAGCACAATTCCAGAAGGAAAACAGCAGCAATCCAAAGGTATTCCAAGGAAAAGCTACCTGCAACGAGCTCGAGTTTTTCCCCAGGGTCTCCCTCGGAGTAGAGCTTTGGGTGGCAGCGGTACCCAATCTGGCTGATGAGGCTGGCAGGGAGAGCCACCAGGTCCCGTCGGATCAGGACACAGGAGCGGTTCTCCAGCGGGATCTGCTCTGCCTTCTCTTGGGCAACTTCAAAATGAAAAGGGAAAACTGTTAAAAGAACTTGTCACAATGCTGGCAGAAGGTCAGGCTTTGACTTCTTCACATGGCAGTTGGAAATATTCCCCCCTCCAGACGTCCACCCACGGGGCAGGTGCCACCTGAAAGCTTGGAAAAATCCCCTGCTCTCCCCCTCCACGGCAGCCTCGGGTTCTGCAAAAGGGATTCTCAGAATCTCATTATGCTTTAACTTCTCCTGAGTTAATCATTTGTGAAAATGGACAGCTCTGCCCAGCTGGCATCGCTCTGCAAGCGCAGCACACGGAGCTGCTGCCCCACGCGCCCCAGGAGGCTGGCAGGAATTTCACCAGGGCTTCTAAACAGGCAGTGGATTGCCCCAGTTTGATGAACACCTGCAGCAGCTCCATCATTACTTCTCTTGATGGTTTTTCCTGCTGAAGTAACAATCCAGACCCTGCAGACACCTCTGCTCTGAGAAAGGTCACCAGAACCTCTCCTGAGATGCACCCACCAGCCACCTCCAGCCCACCTTCTGTTCCTCTGCCTTATGCAGACCAACTTTTCCTCTCAGTAACAAAAGAAGCCCCCATCAACAAGGCAAAAAAAGATATTATTTAATATATATATATTATATATTATATATTATATGTTATATATCTTATTGTATTAAGATATTATTTAATATATATTATTATATATTATATATTATATATTATATATCTTATTGTATATAAGATAAAGTTATTAAGATGTAGCTTGAAAACCAAAATACCAGATTTTCCCAACCCGCTCTGATGCACCATCTCCAGAGCCCACCACTGCCCAGGAGCAAGCAGTAACATGGAAAAGATGGAAATTCTGGGCTGTCCTGCCAGCACCTCCAAATCTGGGTATTGTGGGCATGCTGTAAATGTTTCTAAAGCACATTTACAGCCCAAGACCACCAGATTGCTTAAACTGACAATTTCTGACAGCAACGAGGGCTGACCATGCTCATCAACTTCAGGACACGGTGGGAACAGCTCCAGGGCTGAACTGCAGCCCAGCTCTGCCACAATCCACCTTTTTTCCCCCCAAAACTGTTTGATAACGTGGCAAGTGCCACGTACAAACCCAAACCCAGTGCTCGAATATCTGTGAACACAGAGAAGCAGAAACCCCAGCAAGGAGCCTTTCTGAGGTAAAATCAAGTCCCCTGCTCCAGAGGTGTCTTTTCCTGCGATTATCCCCGAGTTCTGGGGGCCACTTTTCCTCCCTGCAGATAAAATAACAAGTTCTGCAGACTTGTTGCTCAGTAACCGAGGGCGATGGCTCGGGGACAAAGGGAGCAGTGTTCTAAGTAGGACATGCCCGTGGTGCTGGGCTGTGGCATCCTATGGCAGGCTCTGGGGGCATCCGCACCCTCCGGGCTCCCTGAGGAACGCCAGGAGGGATTCTGGAATGGCAGGAGGATGGTACAGCTCAGGGAGACAGGACCCAACAGCAGCAGGACAACCCACAGGGTGGTTTTAAACTCCTTGTGCCACCACAGCCCCATCATCAGTGGGATATCTGTGCCACTGACATTTCCAGCTGCAATATTCCCGGTATTCCCAAGCATCCAGAGCCAAGATCCCGTTGGAGATGGGGGTTAGCTCCCACTGAGGGAGAATCTCAAAGACCAGCTCTATTTTGAGGCTTTTAAAGAGTGACAAGCAAACCATATCCCATTAAATACTGATATTTTCAGCTTAAAGAAACCAAAAGTGAAGGGACAGTGGGTGTGGGGGAACCAGTCCTGCTCTGCTGTCCTTCCCTGGCAAGGCAGGGCCACCAGGGCAGCTCCAGGGGAGGAAGGGACACCTCAGTCATCTCCTAGAGGTAAAATTTTACTCAGAGGTAAAATTAAATATACAACCCCTAGGAGCTGTATATGTGACCTACATCCCAGCACAGGGCTCTGCCCAGGTTATTAAAATTGAATTTTTAATATTTCATTTCTACTTCAACCAATGACTCAGGTCGAAAGCACCCCCAATATCCAACAGCACCATACTTCATAAACCAAACTAAAATTCAGCTAAAAAAGACCAAGTGCAACTCAATCCACTGCTGGATTTTGGTTACATCTGTCCTGCTGGCTCACTGTCTATAAATCTCTTATTAAACACGACCATGAATCATTCTGGGGGCTTTGTTTCCATTCAAGCATTAGCACAAAATAACAATACCAAACAAAAAAGAGGTTTGGGGCTTTCAGTGGCACCTCAATTGAGCAGATAGCAATCAGTTATGTAAAGGAGCAGGACACAAGAGCCACTTTGGTGCCATGTTTCCACAGAAAGCCACTCTGTTTGGCCTTTCTGCTCCGCAGAACAGGAGAGTATTTGCTTCTAATTAATTTGTATCTTCAGAGGGCAGCGGCTCCTTCCCTTTGAATGAAAGGGCAAACAATGGGAAGTATTGTTAAATACAGTTTTTGGTCCTGAACAAGAAAGGAGCTCCCAGCCAGCAGAGAGGGGCAGGAAATCATTACAGAGGAAGCCACGAGAGCTGCCAGCCAAACACTGGAATATTTTATTTATTTGGATATATGCTTTTATCCCAAACTTAGCTGGATGCTGCAGCTGCAACAGGTGGTGCAGAATGGGAAATACCCATTTTCCTGGATTTTTTTTTGGCTGAAGAAACAGCCTCAAACTGGTCCATGCTCCATGGCTCCAGGCTCTACATGATGCTGGAGCTTGTGTACTCTTTATCCCTAAAACACATCCAGAGATTCCTCACATTTTTACCTATGGGTAAAAAACAACTGTTTATGGTTTAGGAATGGGATTTGGAGATACAGAAAGATCAGAGTGATGGAGCCCCACCAAAAAATTGATTTAGAGTCCCAGCATGTAGCCACACATCTCAAGCCCTGAAGAAAAGGCTGGAGAACCCAGCTCCACCTGCTCCACCACGGATGCAAACACATGGATGACCCTCCCCTGTTCCCTACACGGCCAGAAGTCTCTTTTCAAACAGCAATATTTCAACGTTTCTCTCCCATCAGCCTATTTTCCACTGGCAGTGGGACCACCTCAAAAATATCTTCCCTCCACAGCCTCAGCATCTCCAGCATCTGCTGCAGATGTAAACCTGCAGCAGAGGACACACGCAAGCACCATGGGATAGATCCATCACAGAGTCCCAACGGGGAGAGTTTACATTTCCCAAATAGTACATTTATACCAACGTACCGAAACGTAGCCCTTTGATTTGTGACCTATTTATACAGGGAGGTAATCTGGAATTAGTATAGGAAAAATATTACTGGTTTATAAATACCCCTATCTTGCCTTCGCCTCAGATCTCAGCCAGGAGTGAAACATCTGCCAGCCTAAAATTAAACATCTGTGGTTCAGAGGGAGGAAAATGGGGCTGGAAGTTTAATGCCAAAAAAGGCCAGAGGCTGAGTGCCCCCGGGCTGGGGCTCAGCCTTCCCCCTGCTCAGCTCCGACCCTGCCAGGCTCAGGATGGGCAGTGCCACCACAGAGCCACTCAGCCTGGAAAAAACCTCCAAGACCACCAAGTCCAAGCTGTGACCAGTCCCCACCTTGTCACATAAAGACACACAGCCAGGCTTTCAGCACTTTGCAGGTGTTTGAACCCCTCTGCAAAAAGCCAAAGTGCTCTGGCGGATAACCGGCGCAGCCCTGGACCGCTTCATTTCCTAAAAATCCGCGAGCTCTCTGCTGCTGGGCATCCTCCCTGTGCACAGGCTGGCCCCCCAGGGAGCAGGGGGAGCTGGCAGGATCAGGTGGCTGTCCCTGCAGTGGCAGCCAGCTGCTCCATCCCGCTGCAATTCCCGGCGTCGCTGCCGTGATTTACGTCGCTGCGGCGCGTCGTGCCCGGCTCCGCTCGGGATGCTGCACGGGCTGCATCATTTGGGATTCTGGGTTGTTCCTTGCCCTCTTTCCTTACTGTCAGGAATCAGAGGCCAGGAGAGAGAACTATTCTCTCAGCTAATTACCACAACTATTCTATAATGGCTATTTTAGATGAATTTTTAATGAAGTGTGCTCTTGTCAGTTCAGGATTTCATAACTTTCAAGTCCAGCCTTTACATTCCAGCCATTTGCTGCATAAAGATTTTCCCTTTTCCCTGCAAACCGGTGCAGCAGGAGCAGGGGAGGAGGACGGACCCTTGCACAACTTCGCTGGTGCCTGTCAAAATTAAATTAACTGCATCTGCTCAGCAGAGAGCTGACTGACAAGAACGTGGCTCAGTGCAGAAAAGCGCCGAGCATCTGCAAGTCCTGCTGAAACCCACTTCAGCTCAGGCCCACGACGCTGTAATTAACAGGGATAAAAATACTTTGCTTTTGTTTAATATTTTCTGGAGTTGTGCGTTCCTCAGATCAGATGCTGGAAACCTCATTAAGTCTCGCTCGTGTCCTCGAGGCCCACATGTTCTCCACAACCAGACCTAGTTATGGAGCGAGGAGCCATTTTACCGCAGTGCTCCCAGCCCGGCACGGCACGGCCACCAAACGTGGCCAGAGCCCGGGGGGAAACTGAGGCAGCTTTTCCTGCACCCCTCTGCCAGCTTCACCCAGCCAACAGCTAAGCCTGACCCTCCTGTGTTTAATCCTGGCCTCGTCCTGCTGTTCCTTCTGCAGGTCCAACACTTGTCCTGGTCCCTCACTGCAGGTGGCACCAGCCTCTTCTCCCAGGTTTCCTCCAAGAGGAAACAGCCTCAAGCTGTGCCAGACAAGGTTCAGGTTGGACATCAGGAGGAATTTCTTCATGGAAAAGGTGTTCAAGCCTGGGAAGGGGCTGCCCAGGGAGGTTTTGGAGTCCTCACCCCTGGAGGTGCCCAAGGAATGACTGGATGTGGCACTCAGTGCTCTTGGTAGTGTTTGGTCAGTTTGATCTTGGAGGCCTTTTCCAACCTTAATGATTTGAAGATGTGGATCTGATCCAGCTTTGGAAATTCAGAATGGCTCTGACTACAAAAAGGGGTGAAGAAAATAAATTAAAAACCCCCAGCCTTGGGGCAAGAAGAGGATTGGTGACCCCTCCAAGAGTCCTGGGTGATGCTGAAGGCAGGTGAAGAGCTCAGCCACCAGTGTCCCACCACACCCTCACCAGCACCAAGACTTCAGATGGGAAACAAAAAAGCCTAGAAAAAGAAGGAAAAAAAAAAATCCAGCAACCCTCTCTGAAATTCAGAGCTTCGTCTGCTCCGCTCCTCTTTGGCTTTGTTTTTGTTTTCACAAACAGGGCTCTTGGAAACCTTGGCAATCCCTGTTTTAGAGGGCTCCCCCTCCCCCAGGGCTTTGTGAGGCTGTCGGGATCTCCATGCCAGGAGCAGGATTAGCTGCCTTCTCTCTTCCATCTTACAGTTTCATTATTCTGCACCTTTTGAGAGGGTACAGTTTATCCCGAGTAATTAAAACACAGTTAGCTCTACAAGTCCAAACCATAAAGGAACAGCTTAGGTTTTACTTTTTGTAATCTCTTTTTTGCATGCCCTCTTTTCCAGGAAGCATGATACCTATAGCTGCCTTATTTCCAACAGGAAACTCCTTTGAAAGGTGAGGGGGGGAAGAGGAATTTCAGCAGAAATGTGGGATATTTAGAGCCTTAAAAACTGCCTCTTCCCTGCATGGCCTCAGCATCACCACCTGGTTCTCCCAACAGAAAACAAGCAGGAAAATTTGGCTGTGGGATGCCCAGCTCTGGCACATGGGCTGCAGCATCTCCACTGACACCTGAGCAAGCTGCTCAGATTTTCACTTTTCCAGCTGGGATGATTCCTGCCCAACATGGATTAGGGACAGCCTCGGAGCTGCTGCCTGCACCATCCCCAGGCTGGTCCTGTCCTTGCCTTCTGAATTGGTTTTGTTCTGTTCCTGCAGGAACTGGCCCCGTGACAGGGATGGAAAACACACTCCAAGGGCATGATCCCACTGCTCTGAGGAATAACTGAAGGCAAACCCACATTATTCACCACAGGCTCTACAGCAGGGAAAAGCAAAATAAACTCAAAACAAGTGGGGAACAGCACAATTCCTGTTCAGTCTGGCTCCAACAGCAGCCATGGAGGAGACCCTGACCTTGTCCCACCCCTGATCCCACTCCTCTCCTGCCCCATCCCAACCACTGGGACCTGAAGCAGGACAGGGAGAATACTCAGGCTTTCGAGGATCATTTCCTACAACTGCTTGTCCACTTCTCCTAACAAATATTTCCAATATTAAAACAGTAAATTTGCAATTTCCCCCCTTTTTCATATGCCTTAGTGAAAAAACACCTTGGAAAATCCTGCTTATCTGCTTGCTGTCTGTCAGAGGAATGTGCCAAGAGGATGCTGAGCTCCTGGGATGGGATGGGATGGGATGGGATGGGATGGGATGGGATGGGATGCAATGGGATGGGATGGGATGGGATGCAATGGGATGGGATGCAATGGGATGGGATGGGACAGTGTGTGGTGGTGTGCCCAGTCTCAGTACTAAGGAAGCCTACCTGTTTTATGCAACAAAAATTGTCCTATTTGCCAAATCTCGTTCCTTGGTGAAGACTAAAATCAAATGGCTTTGAGGAAAGCTCATCAATTTGAACCAGAGATCAAATATTTGCAACATTAGTGCAGCAATTCCAGGAGCAAGAGCAGGGGAAGCAGCTCCAGGAGAGGGGATGCTGCATGCAGCCAGAGCCAGTGGGAAGATGTCCCTCCCTGGGGAGCTCCTGAGGATCAAAGCTGCTGCCACAAACACCTGCAGCTCCCACGAGGAGGCCACTGCGAGGCTCAGCTTCCATGTGGGACACTGCCAGCTCCATCTGTGCGGGGTGCTGGGAGCTGTTCCATGGGGAATGCTCACAGGACAGCACCCAGCAGGCATCTCCCCTTGGAACTGAGCCCCTGGACCTGCAGCCCACCTGTCCTGGCTCCTCAGGAGGGTCTGAGCCCTGCAAGGTGCCAGGGGAAGGGGCTGTGTGCCCAAGGAAGTGGGAGGGAAAGGACCTTTCGTGTCCCTGTGCCCACCGTGGGGCTGAGCAGCAGCTCCCAGCCAAGCACCACCAAAGTGAAGCTGCCTCCTCTGTCTGAGACCCATAGAGGGATTCACACTCATCCCTTAATCCCAACTTCTGGAAGGGCAGCAGAGGGATTTTACGTAGTTCTGGGCAGTGTGTTTCTAATTGGGAAATAAAAGAACATCAAGCCCCAAAAATGCTTTTCCCTTTCTGACAGTGATGTGTGGGACAAGGCTGGCAAAGGAGAGAGGGGCACTTCAGGCAGTGGGGAGAAAAGTCCATCTTTCCTTCCTGTTGCAGGTACTCCTAGTTAACTTCAACAAAAATTATTTAGTTGATGTTCTCCCTTCCTCCAAATATCCCACGTTCATCACTTTTTTGGAAACTCTTATTCTAAAAAGCCAGGACAGAAGACAGCTCCCAGAGTGACCACCTCACCCTGGGCCCAAAGGGCTGGTGCTTCCCTTGCCATGGATGACCCATGGCAGGTTTGCTCGGCCATCACCTCGGGATGGATGCCACCACCACAGGGCTTGTGCAGCCACCAGGCTCCTCGCTGGCAGCCTCAGCCAAAAAGGAAAGGCTGATCCAACCCTGGTGGATGGTGGAGTCTCTCATCTAAAATCTCCCAGCTGGGAAGTGATGGCACAGGGGTGACCTGCACACCAGCACCAAGCCCACCACGTGGGCAAAAACCAACAAACGAAACGCCCAAAGACAAAAACCTGGTGAACAACCCAAAACCACCCACGTTGGCTGGACTAGGCCCACACAACCACTGCGAGGGCGCGGAAAACCCAAGGAGAGAGACATCCATTACCAGAATAACCTCCCGAGGACTTGATGTACATCTGCCCGTACTGCTCCTCCACCATGGTGTCGTAGGCCTCATCATCCTCCTCATCCTCCTCGTTGTGGTAGGAGGTGGGGCTGTCGGTGGTGGGGATGCTGCTGGCGCCGGGACTGGTGCGCTCTCCCTGCGAGTACTGCACCTGCTGCACGTTGGGGAGCAGCGTGGCCAGGTTGGGCACCCCGTAGTAGGAGACTCGCGACAGCTTCAGGGGCCCCGCGTTGGCACCGCCGGCGCCGCCGGGCCCGTCCCGGGCGCCGGGCTCCAGGGGCCGCTTGCCGGGCAGGCCGGGCAGGGCCTGCAGCTCCAGGTTCTCGTGTTTGACGCGCGTGAGGAGCGGGATGGGCATGGAGGGGGACATGACGTAGGGCGCCGAGGCCGACTGCAGCTGGTTGCAGGGGCTCTGCGGCTCCGAGCTGGGGTCTTCGATCATGGTGGTCTGAGAGTCACAGTGCGGAGAGCTGACCTTGAACATCAAGTCCGTCCCTTTCTCCACGATGTGCTGGATCTGCAGGAAGCCCGCCGTGTACATCACCACCAGCTGCTCGCTCGCCGCCATGGTCAGCTTGCCGGTGTAGCAGAAGGAGAGGATCTGCTGGAAGCAAGCTGGGGGGACGGTGCCCGGCAGCTCAAAGGCGTTTTTGCTGTTCCCGCTGAACAAGTCTCGGAAGTAGAGGCTGCTGGCGGCCAGCACCGCCCGGTGAGCCTTGAAGGCTTGGCCCTTCACCACGATGGAGACATCGCAGTAGAGCCCCAGCAGCCGCTGCTCGTTCAGGCAGCCCAGAACGGTGTTCCCGAAGTTGGGAATCTCTATGTGCAACATCTGCGACATGGCTCAGGGTCGGCCGGAGCTCCTCAGACATTCAATGCAGGAATATCCAAAGTAGGGCACATCTGAAAAACGGAGAAGGCAAGGGGAGAGAGGAACAAGGGTTTCAGACAGTTCACCAAAGCAGGCAGGAGCACAGGAACCCACCTCACCCGACATCAAAGGCTCCAAGCCGAGCTCGTGGTAAAGCAATCGCTTACAAAAATTACTTATCGGTGGTTTCGAGCGGCGTTGGGAATGCCATTGGTGGATGGCAAAGGATATTCCAAAAAAGCAAGTATTTCCTTCAAGTTGTGGTCTGTTTAAATAAGCACCACTGATTTATTCCCTCGGGGGTTTTTACTTTATGCAGGAAAATCTGAACGATAATGGGAGAGAACAGTAAAGCAAACCAAAGGCAGGCAGACAGATCTCGGTAGCATTATATAAGAAACACAACAAGCAGCAGCTATGTTGAAACTACAGAAAAGATATTTATAAAACAATGTGCCATTCTGCCCGAAATAAATACAGGATTCTGCCGGAGCCAGAGCTCCCAGGAAAAAGCACTTTGAAAAGCAATCTTCCCATTTGCACCAGAAAGAGGGAGCATTTCAACAGTTAAACCCCTTCTCAACAGATTTATCCTCCAACAAAACGAGGCTTATCTCCAAATTAAGCCAGATATTTGAGCCCCAATAAAACAAACCAACGTGCCTGCCGCAGCGAGCCGCCTACCAAGTTGTCTCCTAATTTTCCTCCCCCAGATCCCGAGCGGGGCAGGGGGAGCCCCAGCCCAGCCCCTGGTGCAGGCAGAGCCCCCAGCCCCAGCCCGGTGCCCCCGGTACCGGCAGCGAGGACCCCCCGAGCGAGCCCGGGCTGGGGGCGGCTCCGCATCCCGCCACGGCCGCTCTCCAGGGCCAGCTGTACCTTTTGGCCACGGGCAGAATCCCTGCTTCCACCTCCCAGAAGAAGAGGCTGGAAGGGAGCTGGAAGGTGCGCAAAGCCCGAGCAGGTAGCGCTGGTGCGGCTGAAACTCCAGCGGAGCAAATCACTGCGGATGCACCGAGCCCAGACCCCCCCTGCTCCCTCCCCAAAGAGTCCAGCGGATTTAAAATCCTGTCTGCCTGCAATAACACTGAAGAAAAACTACGTTTAACTAGTACTGAAAGCTCAGAAGAACGAGATTTTTTTTTTTAAGGGGAAAAAAAAATATAGAAGTTTATCTGAGCAAGATTAAAAAAAAAATCTCAGGAAAGAAAATAATAACCCACAAAGAGCTGCTCTGTTCCCATTGCCGAGGGGAGAGAGAAAAAAAAAAAAAAGTCCTATCTGCAAGGCCACGGGGTAACAGGAAGAAAAGAGAACACACTCGGAGCCAATTTAATTGTAGCTGCATGGTTAAAAAAAAAAAAAAAAAATTCTTCCAAGCGAGGAAGTTCGCGGTGCCTTCGCCTGGCCGGGAGAGAACATACCTTGAGCAGCGTCCCTGGAGCCGAGGGGCTCCGGTCCCCGACCGCCGAGTGCTCGGGGGAGGGGGAAAATAAAATATAGTATCAAGCGCTAGGTTTGTATCTGCTGGAGCTCAAGCTTTTACCAAGTCAAATCTCCCCGGCAGCGCACAGCATCTAAATGAATAGGCCGGATGCAGATTAACATTCAGGCTGCTCTCTGCAATGAATAGAGCCCTTTGATTAGGGACCTGAAGTAAATGCCAGTTTCAAACCGAAGCTTTAAAAACAGAGAAATATCAGTGCCAGAGGAATGCTCTCAGTGTTGGTACAAGACAGACTTTTGATGAGTCACTGCAATGCAAACAAAGATGGCAGAAATACTGTACTGTATGCTGATGAAATGCTTAGTGGTGCCACGGCAACTGAGACAGGTTTTAAATTTATAGTGCAGTTTTGCATATGAATTACGCTGTAAACTGCCTCCCCTGCCATCTAGTACATCCAGAGTGTCAAAGCATTTAAACTATTCCAAACAGTCTGCAGAGCTGGCACTGCTGCTGGTTAACTCCTGCGGCCAGGGGAAGGCACAAAGCAGGGGTGGTGAGCATCCCCTGCATCCCCCCAGCACCCGCCTGTACCCCCAGCATCCCCTGCATCCCCCTGAATCCTCCTGAATCGCTGAGCATCCCCCCAGCATCTTCCTGCATCACCCCTGCATGGCCTCAACATCCTCCTGCAGTACCCCCACCTGCCCCCAGCATCCTCCTGCATCCCTCCAGCATCCTCTGCATCCCCTCAACAACCCCTGCATCCCCCCCACCATCCTCCCACCTGGTCCAGCATCCCCACCCCAACAGCTCCCCAAAAGTACAGCTTTGGGAATGCCCAAATCTGCCCAAAATAAAGGTGCTCCTTGGGCAGCCACAGTCCTGCTTCCTGCCCCTCCCCAGATCCCCCCTCCCAATACAAGAAAGCCTTTCAAATGCAGGAAAAATGTTTACCCCTTGGGGAAAGCTCCTTTCAGTCTGTGGCTGAATCCACTAAAAGCAAATCCATTTGCTTAAGTAATGAAATCCCAGTCACATTGTCTCCTGGATTCAGATTTTAAATTACCTTCGCATTTATTGAGCATGTTTGGTGCTTTTTTCTGGGAAAGAGGGTGGGGCCTCCCTTTGCTTATTTCTCCCTTGCCCAGAGCGTTTTCCCCTGTGCCATTGGCCTCGGGTTTGGTTCAATTGCTGCGCTCCGATGGTCACACACAGTTAAAATTCCAGGGATGAGAGGTGAGAACATCCCCAGAGCAGGATAACTGCAGGGAGCACAGGGCTGGTGATGCTCCAGCCTGACCTTTCCCTCCTGATCCTGCTCACAGCTCCGCTTCCACATCCAAAGGGATATTTGGTGCATGAAGTTCAAGCCCAGGGCAGGGAAGTGCTGCGCCCCCAGCAAAGCCCTGTGATGTGGCTGCCCCAAATCCCAGAGGATCTGCAGCCCCATGGAGCCTGGAGAGCCCCACAGCAGGGCTCCCTGCCTCGGGAATGCTCAACACACTCACCCCAACCCCTCAGGAGGTCACTGGGGTCCCTGCCTGGTGCTGCTGAGAGGGGACCAAGGTGACATCCCGTGAGGAGATCAGAGGTGACACCATAACAACCAAGCCTGAGAGCCCAAAACCTCTCCCAAGCAGGACACCACCCACCTCTGCTGGAGAAAGGATGGATCTGCCCTGGCAAGCAAAGATCCGCTCTGGATCTGTGAAAATTACTGAGAAAAACCCGAGTTACAGAAAAAACACCACTGCTCAGGCACCTAAGGAAGCCTCATCCTTCCATGAGGATGGGAAGAACACGGGTGGAGAAGGATTTCCTCCTCTCCTCTTCCAGGAAGGGCTTCCTCAGAGAAGACACCAGGGAGGCCTTGGATGGACCTCCTTGGACCCAGCCAAGGACAGCTCGGTAGGACAGAACAAGCCAAACTTAAAATAAATATCAATTATTAATATTACTTAGAATTTGCTCTATAAACAAACAGGCTTGTCAAGAGCAACCCCTGTCTCCCCCTAAAAACACCAAACTGGGCTGGTTTAGGGTATGTTTCAGCCAGAGAGAAGCAACAAAGTGCCCCAGCATCCCAAACCTTTGGCAAATCTCGGATAAAACCTCCCAGGAGAGTTTGAACCAAGATGCTGCACACAACTGGTGCCTCCCAAAATGCAGCTCTCAGGGAAATGGGGGTGAAGTAACAGTGTTTGGTTTAGAAAGAGCATCAAGGAACACGAGCAAAGCCACACAAGGAAGCTGCAAAAGCCCAAACCAACCCCAAAAAACCAGCAGCCAGGACTGCTGGAATTTTTCCTTCTTCCTCCCTCTGCCCCTTCCTTTTTATGACCAGAATATATTTAAAAAGTCTCCCAAAACCCAACCCAAAACCACGAACAACCCCAAATCATGAAGAAATAAAATAAAACAGTCTTGAAAGCCCAGGAGAACCTGCTCACCACCAAACCTCACATTCACTAAAAACAACAGCAACAAAAAGCTACTGAGATTAGACAGCAAATGCTATATAATAATTTCTAAGTTTAAAATTCCTCTATTAAATATGATAATTTTTCTTTTAAATAGAGCACCAAGTGACTTTTGAAGGGTCTGAAATGGCTTCAGCCCATCTGACACAGGAAGAGCTGTGCTGCAGGAGAAATGACCTTTGCAATTACAGATGTAAACTGTATTTTTCCAATCTCATCTCCCAAGGTGCAGGAGGAGCCCCCAGCACGACCATCACCCCAAAAAATCCAGTCCCCTTTGGCCTGGAGTGTCCTACAGGTGACAGACCATCAACAGGACATTTCCAAATGGGAAAACTTGGATAAAACTGGATTAAAACCAGACAAACACCTTGATCATTTTATGTACGTGACCATTCAGGCAAAACATCATTTTGTTTTCTGATGGCAGCCTCTTTTTCCAGCCCCTGGATCCAGGAGGATAATTTGTACATCTCTGCCTGATTTTTGTAAAGTCATAGCCTTTGTCACAAGATGTTCATAAAAAATGCAGCTGTTATTTGAGACAACTTCCAGGAGAGTTTGGGAATTCTCAGTTTCTGCATTCATCTGCTTTGGGGGAAAGAAAAAAGCAGGTTTGCTCTTTTCCAAACTAATTCCCTGCTCCGGGGCCTGAAAGGTCAGGGTGAGGCAACAGCAACAAAGGAAAAAAGCATCGACCTAGAATAAGATGCTGCCATCAGAGCTCCCCCAGGAGTAATCAGAAATAATTAGATAATGTATTTAAATTGTCTTTTTTTTCTTAGCCAAACAACAGAGAGACTGGGTGGAGAATCATTCCCCCAAAACCCCCCAAATATGCCCCAAGCCCTGCAGCTCCCCAGGAAGGTGAGCTGGGCAGCAGCTGGGACAGGGACAAAGGGACAGGGACCCTCGGGGGTGGGAGACAAAGCAGCCAAAGGCTTTCACCCCCCCAGCCAAAGCCCCAGGAAAGAAAAGAGCTGAAAAGTCCTGCCCTTGAAGGCCCCAAAGGGTCAAAGGAAATTTCCCTTTCTTCTGTAAATGAGCAAAGAGGGGGGGAAAATCCCACCCTTGGATTTGAAGCTGGCAGGGGGATGTCACC